CTGCAAATTTGATTAGGGAGTGATAAAGTTGGTGTTTTCTACTATATATTATCAAAATATTCATTGTTAATATATTAAACCTATAACACCCTGCTACATTTTTATTATTTGTGTTTGATAAGAAAAAAACTAAGACTTCAATAGTTGGGCCAACTGAAGTGGGAAGGGGCTCGTAGTTGGACGTATAATCGATTTGTATAATACTAGTTTATTAGTTAAGCTCAGTTTTGTAGTACCCTTCAGCATGGGCTATAAATTACGAAATGTAATTATAGCCTTTGTACTAATCGATTCTACATGAGATTTCCAAGTTAGACATGCGTCGATTGTTAGTCCTAAATATTTTGCTTGATATGCCCATGGAATTCTTTGGTTACAAATAATTATTTCGGCTGGTAATGATTGTCGTCTTTTAGTGACTAAAATTGTCTGGGTTTTCCCATCTTCAACCTAATTCTCCAACGGAGACACCAATTCTGAAGCTGCTCTACAGCCTCTTGCAGTCGGTCTCCAAAGTACAAGAAGGTATTTGGACTGGAGTTTGACTGACTCTCTGGACCTGACTAAAGTAATTTTGAATGGATTCTTCAATACGGATAGTATTTGTAGGATCAAGATCTTCATTCGGTGAAAATTGATTTGCCATGGATTCCGCAAAGATTTCAGCTTTTTCTTGATTTGTATAAACAAGACCATTTGGACCGTTTATAGGAGGAAGCTTTTGCTTTGTGCCGTGCCTAAGTGATTTAGCAATTTTCCAGAGCGGCAGCAGAGACTGTAACGTGTCCTCCAGGAAGTTATTCCACTGATCGTTTTTATGCTCAAATATAGCATTTCTGGCACAATGAACTAGGTTGTTCGCTATTCTGATATCATCAGGGTGTCTAGTTGTTTTAGCTTTTTTGATTGCACGGCGTTCTTTGCTAATAAGATCAGCAAGATCTGATTGTAAATGTGGTCTAAATTGTTTATTGGTCGTAATAGTGGCTTCTTGAATAGCAGGTTGTACCGAATTTGTCCAATGAACAAGCTACGAATCCACATCGATAACGGATGCTATGATTGGACTTGTAGGAAAATTAGATATATGTGTTTTAAATTTTTCCCAATCTATTCTCCGGACTAGAGCGTCCTCATTTTCATCATTTTTGTCCCTACTTCAAGAATTAAAGGCAGGTCCCTCTGAAGATCATGCGATATTTTTGTTTCAATGTTTTAAGTGCAGTTCCTGGATATTGCAAAATCGATAATGTCTGGCAGAAATTCATTATTATAAGGGTAGTGAGTAGGTTCCGTCATACTATGTATGAGGAACTCTCGAATGAAAGATAAGTTGTAGAGTTTTACCCCACCAGCGTTATTTACACGAGAATTCCAAGTTTGGTGTTTACAGTTATAATCACCAACAGCTAAGATTGGACCTGTATAAGCTAAAAGAGAATCAATGTCACTTTCCTGAATATGTGGACCACTTCTAACATAAATAAAAGAAATTTTGAATATAGAATTATCTCTCATAATTAACCACTACAGAAGACACTTCAATGCATTCCATTTCTGGATTTGAACTTCTGTAGTAGTCAATATTTCTTTTTATCAATACAGCAGTACCCCCACCTCTACCAGTCGATCACACCGAATCACATCAAAATTTGGAATTTTACAATTATCGCCTGGATTTAAATGAGTCTCTTGTAAGAGTGCAATGTCTATATTTAACTCAATTAATGTGACTGCTAATTCGTGTTTTTTGTAGATTTCTTTTATGCCATCTGCGTTCCAAGAAAGAATATTAAGGAATTCAGGTTGTCTCTTATGACTATTATTCTCTTAAAACAAACAGACTCTTAAAAGAAGCCACAAATACAAAACCATCAGACAAAAGTAACAAAACTGTCATATTCATTAAAGAGCCTAAGTTTACATTCAATCATAGTAAAATAACTTATAACTACAGAAAGGCTGACTTTGTCAACCTGTATCAAGAGCTAATTCAATTTGACTGGGATGTTTTATTCTGCTCTTCTGATGTTAATTATATTGTTGATGTATTTTATGGCAACATTTTTCAAATTTTTGACAGGCACATACCTCTGTATAAGAATTACAGTCACCGATACCCGCCTTGGTTTCACTCAGCTATTATTAAGAACATTAAACTTAAAGCTAAATTTAGGAAAAAAATCAACAGGTCTGCTTTTGTTGATGATCTACAAGAATTCAAACGTTTGCGCCGCTTGATAAAAAAACAGATTAAATGATGAATATATTGAAAATATCCAGAATTCTTTAACAATTAACCCCAATGCTTTTTGGTCATACGTTCACTCCAAAAACAACACATCACGTATCCCAGGGATAATGAAATTTCAAAATAATTCTATAGATCAGCCTCAGGATATAGTAAACGCATTCAGTGAGTTTTTCAGCAGCGTCTATGTCACTCACAAGCCCCATAATAATGCCTCACTAAATCATAGTAATTTATTTGTCCATTTTCATCCAATTGAGGAAAATGAAGTCAGGAAGGCCATTAAATCACTAAAGGATAGATGGCATCCCGTCCTTTATAGTCAAAGATTGTGTGGAGGTGTTTGTTGGTGTTCTAACTAGGATTTTTAATATTTGTCTTATAACAAAAAGATTTCCAGATATTTGGAAGATCGTTAAGGTCTGTCCAGTGTTTAAGTGTGGGGATAAGTCAAATATTGAGAATTACAGGGCAATCTCTATATTATTCATGTTCTCGAATGTCTTTGAAATAGTACAGTCGCATTTACACTGCCGTCCAGCGTCAGCTGTCATTGCATCAACACGGATTTGTCGCTAATCGCTCAACAACCACAAATCTATTTATAATAACGCAGTACCTCTCGGAAGCCATTGATAGTAATGAGCAAGTTGACGTTATTTATACCGACTTTTCGGAGGCTTTCGGTAAAATTAACCACAAAACTTTATTAAATAAGTTAGGTGCACTTGGTTTCACAGATGATGCTAGGGAGTTGATGAAATCTTACTTATCCGATCGTAGACAATTTGTTAGCTATAATGGCTTCCAATCTGAGACCTACTTGGTACCTTCTGGAGTTCCTCAGGGGTCCAACCTGGACCATTACTGTTTTTGATATTTATTAATGACCTCTGTGACTCAGTTGAATGTGAACGCCTATGATTTGCTGACGACCTAAAAATTTATTCGCAGATAAATACTCCTGATGACTGTATCAAGCTACAACACCAATTAAATTTTGTGCTGTCTTGGTGTGTAGAAAACAAGTTGGAGCTTAATGTAAGGAAGTGTAAAATAGTCAGCTATACCAGGAAAATTAATGTTTGCGAATATCCGTACTCTATTGATGGGTCTGTGCTAGAAAGATGCTCTGATGTACGTGATTTAGGTATAATCTATGATCAAAAGTTAACTTTTAGTCAGCATATAAATAAAAAAGCATCAGAAGCATTGGCGGCTTATGGTTTCAAATTGCAGGAATTTTCATAACATAAAGTCTATTAAGTTATTATATTATGCTTATGTTAGATCCAAAGTCGAATATTGTAGTATTATGTGGAGCCCTTACTATGAATGCTATAGCACAGCTGTTGAACGAGTACAACGGAAGTTTATGAAGTTTGTTATGTTTAGGATTGATGGGACATATCCAGAGAGAGGTACAAGTAATGAGGAACTATGTAGTCGCTTAGACATGTTGACTTTGAAAAAACGTAGATACTGTGCCTCAATAATATTTGGCTACAAAATGATCAACAATTTAATTGATTGCCCCATGATCCTGGAACAGATCAAGTTTCGTACTCCAACGTTTGCATCTCGCAATCATAAAATATTCGGGCTTCCTAGAGCTAGGACAAACATTCTTCTCACGTCACCGTTATATGTAATGTGCTCTAACTTAAACAGAATTGGATGTTACTGTGATATTTACGACAAATGTTAATTAGGTACCTGCTAAAGGCAGCTAAGGCTTATTCGGACCAATAGGTCATGTTACAAATTTATACCTGTGTTGCATTTCGCTTTTTTCGCTTTTTTTTGCTTTTGTATTATGTTTATAAATTGTCCTATAAATGGGAAACTGTTGGACAATAAAGCTATTATTATTATTATTATTAAAAACACCAAATATATTTCAAAACTTAAAAACGTAACAATGAAAACGAAATTAAATATAACTTATTGAAAACTACATTAACATAAAAAGAATGACATTCTTACGAGTACATATTATTATGTTTTTTTTAAAATGTCATTTGAAGTTGGAAAATTACAGCAGCTTTTATCTTCGGCATTAATTAGTCTTTTGCTGTGCAAAATTCCACTTATTGTCGTAGCACCCAGTCGATTACGCAATTTGGTTTTGTTTAAATTAATGTAAACAAATAATCTTTCCACACTTGCGCTACTGTGTGGTAATGTAAATAAAATTTGAACAAAATTGACAAGCTCTGGGTAAGCGAGACTATCATCTCCTTTTTGATATTGCTTATGTTTTTCCAGAATTGAATTTCACCAAGCGAAAAATCACATTCAGAAAACTTCAACTGCCTAAATTCTTTATCTAAATTGTTAATGTCTTTAACTATATATGGAAAGCTACTAGCCAGAGGACCTACGCTTTCAGTTGATGATATATTTGATGAGTGCAGAAAAGTTATTAGTTTGAGAATCTGTACTTCTCGGGAATTAAAGTGGAATCGCTTCTATATTTAGCTTACAGCTGCAATATAAAAATCCAGACATTTCAATCTGAAATTATGTTTGATATTTTTGTCAATTTTTCCATTGGAAGGAAATGTTCAGGATTTCGATATTGAACAATAACTATATCTGTATTTCTTAAATATTCTGATTTTATGAAACAGTTCAATAAAAATTTACACGCGTCATTAATCCGGGGGTAAAGGTTACAGACTTCATCGAATGCTTCAATTCTAAAATAATTCTCTAGACCATCATATTGCTCAATAATTCTACTTACAGCGGAAATCAGTGACAGCCACCTGGTCTGTGATGAATGCAGTAATTTGTGAGGTTTGATGTTAAAAAATGTTTGAAATTCCGAAAATCTTTTAAAACGGGGATGCATATAATTGTATACGCTTCTTACCAACTTTTGGATACATTTCTATATTTTTTCATTGTATTTTTCAATTGTTTTTTGTTTGTCACAAACCTTTGAAAAAATCACTAGAAATATGACATTTAACAAATTCAAATACGGCGCTCTTGTTGAGACACCTTTTATACAGGGTGACTTTGAAGTTGAGTCATTAATTTTCAGATAATGATTGTAGAAGGAAGATAAACCAAAATATGTGTGTAAAAATAAAAAAAAAAATAAAAAAAATTTTTTACCTTGTTTTATAAAGTATCCTCCCGACAAGTATTTCAGTGCGGACCTGTATTTGATCGTGAGGTCCCCTGTGAGGTCTTAAGTCACCTGATTCACAAGCCCGTTGTACTTCATTAACAAAGGCACGAGGGGTTGGTTGCACTCGATTGGGAAACCGATCCGCATAAACATGTGCCATTTTTTATTTCGTTTGAGCCACGCAACACATACCACTATTCACTGACACTAACTGTATACAAATGAATGAGATACCTGTAAAAACATCGTTCCAAATTCTTTCGCTTTTTTTGTTTCCGATGCGATGAACCGATACGGCGGATTATATCCATTGTCGCCAAACACGACCACATAATATTGTTATTGAGACAGGGCGGTACTCAAACTTCCAAAGGGCTATAACTTTGTTACTTTAATTTTACCAGGAAAATGGTAAAGGAAAAAAACATTTCTTTTGATCAGATCTACTCACTGTTAAAATAAATGACTCAACTTCGAAGTCACCCTGTATATATATAGAAGAAATGTTTTTTTCCTTTAACATTTTTGTGGTAAAATTAAAGTAACAAAGTTATAGCCCTTTAGAAGTTTGAGTACTGCCCTGTCTCAATAATAATATGTGCACGTGTTTGGCAACAACGGATATAATCGGAAACAAAAAAGCGAGAGAATTTGAAACGCTTATCACGATGTTTTATTCATTTATTTTATTCAGTTGTATCCATTCGATGTGTCAGTCGGTAACGCGTGAGTGGTGTTTCTGCGTGGCTCAAACGAAATAAAAAATGGCACATGTTTACGAAAATGCTGAACTTGTGGACATGATTCTGATTTTACAAAATGCTGCTACGGCAACACGGATCGGTTTCCCAATCGAGTGCAACCAACCCCTAGTGCCTTTGTTAATGTAGTACAAAGGGCTCGTGAATCAGGTGACTTAAGTCCTCACACGGGAGGGTATGTGCTCCAAGACCGCACGATCAAATACAGGTCCGCACTGAAATACTTGTCGGGAGGATATTTTATAAAACAAGGTAACATTTTTTTTTAATTTTTACACACATATTTTGGTTTATCTTCCTTCTACAATCATTATCTGAAAATTAATGACTCAACTTCAAAGTCACCCTGTATATATATATATATATATATATTATTATCATCATTATTAAACCGTTGTACACATATTGAATATGGAAACTGCGCGTGACTTTGAGCAACCGATGCAAAGTCACATATGATTCGGCGATGATACTTTTTGAAGTTTTTAACTGGAAGATAAAGGTACTTGTGTTTAATACAGACAAAATGACCTGAATTTGAGAAAGACACTCCTGTCTTAATTCAATATCGAACCAAAAACTGCGCAGTCGATTGCCAAAAAATTGACAAAACCAAACTTGATTTACTGATACTAGATTTATAACAGGCAGCTTTTTTAGTTTTTTTTTTTTGTTCTGTTACTGGCACTGGTGATGACCAACTGGCTTTTTTAGTTGCTGATTGAAATGTATTGCCAGAATAACTATACAGGGTGCCCACGTAGAACTGCAGCAATCAAAAGTTGACAAGCCATTAAAATTTGGGCCGATTTTATACTATTCTACTAATATATTTTTAAAATGGTTCCACTTCCGCTTGTACCGGAAGTAGATTCGCACCAACCTGCTTATTTGCATGACAGAGATTTGGTGAACTACTAAGCTAATATATCAAAGTTAAAATTTATTATACATCAAACTTGATTTTTGTACATATTTACTGCAAATATTATGTAAAAGATCTGTGTATATTTCACACATGTACAATTATTAATAAATTGGTTAAAATATCATACAGTAGATTCTACAATACTTTGAAAATCAGTTGAAGTTAAAGCTAAAACCTCCTCACAAACTTTCTTATAACACCAAGCATCTCCTTTCAAACGTTTTCTCCTGATTCCTACAAAATTCTGATGGCTTTCCTCGTTTATGTTTGTAAACTCATTTTCACATGGCTGTGAAAACACTCAAAGGTACATTTTTCAATATTGATTTTGTAGGTGTGTTAGTCCCAGTAGGCAAACTGTTTGTTCCCAAGTTTGGAAGGTAACAGATTTCTAATTCGAAGGAACATTCACCATATACACTGCCTGATATAGGCTGTGTCTTCCCTTGTAACTTGAAACCTTTCCTCTTGCAGAAGATGCCTTTTCTTTCTAATGCTTTAGAAAGTCGGTTGATAACATACTCTGGACTACAGCATTGAGTGGTGGAAACATTACTAAGATCTTTGCTGGTCAACTGTGTTGGTTTGCCTACACTGCAGTTATCAGTCTTTCTAGGTGTCAATACATTTACTACTTTCTGGAAAGACCTTTCAATACTACCCAGCACTTTTCTTGCAGATCCAGGAGTAGTGACAGTATCAGATGATCGCTCTTTATTAGGTGTACACATTCGGGTAGCATCTTTTATCAGTTTCTTTGTAGGTATAGGTGATTTATCCTCTGGTATGGGACTTCGAACTCTCTTTAGGGCTCTTCTGGTATGTGGCTCTACAAATCCATTTGTAGGGGTGGATACTTGACATATTGGTGTAGAAACAGCACCCTTCTCTGCAGGAGTTTCAGGGGTACTACTATAAATAGAGTCCCAGATAATTTTACTTGCCATATTGTTGGATAATTTCAAAGGAGATTGTCTTTTCTTCCTCATTAAAAGTATCAAATAAGTTGCAGTATGATAATCATAATTCCATTGTTTCAGTTTACACCACATCGTGTGTGGATCAATCTGATGTTGTTTTGCCATGATTTCAACACATTGTTTGTCATATACTTTCGGATCATCACCCCTAAAGTTCACAGGATCCAAGATGCCTAGTGTAAGCCAAGGATGTGACAAAAGCTCCTTGATTGTTATCCTTTTATTGGGATCAACTTGTAGCATAGATCTTAAAAGTGATAGGCTTTCTTTAGACATGAATGCTGGCTCATGATATTTCCCAGAAAGAATTTTCTTGTACAGAGCATCTATACTGACATCGTCAAAAGGGAGGGTTCCAGAAAGAAGTGCATATAACAGAACCCCCATCGCCCAGATATCCACCTCAGCTCCCAAATACTGTCTTCCCATCACTAGTTCTGGCGCAGCATATGTTGGGGATCCACAAGAAGTGAGTAATGGCGACGTCATTCCACCATCTGGGTTAGCACATAGACCAAAGTCAATCAACTTTAAGTTTTGGTATTTGTCTAGAAGTACATTTTCTGGCTTCAGATCTCGATGGGCAAATCCCGAGCTGTGTAGATAAGCTACTGCAGAGACTATTTGTCTGAAAAACATCCTGCTTTCAGATTCAGACAAGCGGTTCTTCTCTATGATGTGGTCAAACAGTTCTCCACCTGAACAGTATTCCATTATGAGAAAAAAGTGGGTTTCTGTCTCTATAACTTGAAAAAGCTTGCAGATATTCTCGTGTGACAGCGTCTGCAGTGCTTTCAGCTCTAATTTCACTCTTGGTAGATCAGAATCCAAGGCAGCTTTGTCCATAATTTTTATGGCAACTTTTTCTCCAGTCGATATATGGGCGCCCACTTTGACCTTTGCGAAACCTCCGCATCCTATCGTTCTGTCTACTTCGTATAAACCTTTCAAAGCTTGATATCGTACCATCTTGTTTTTAACGTCTTTATGTAAAAACAAATTTAAATTTGAAAGCAAACAATACCATTCAAATTGACATTTATGACAATTGACTTTGACGTGTGCTTCGTTGTTGTGGATGTATCGAAATCGTCGCCATCTTCTAGGCTTCAATATCAGGCTTTTCGTCATGCAGAGGTACTTTCTATTCGTCATTGTCTGTCAAAGCGGTCCGTGGGACCTTCGCTCTTTGTTAAAGTATCGTAGGTCAGTGTCAGGGGGGTGAAACTAATATGGTCGAATGGGAAACTATGGGTAAGACGTCAATGGGAACAAAGCAGTGTTGCTGGTGCACATGGATGAATGGACATGATCCGGAATCCGTTCACAAACATAAAAGACCTAGATTAGTACTTCTTTAACAAAATGTATTCTTTATTTCGTTACATTGACTGCTTTTTTTCAAAAAAATTTCAAATCTCATAATCTAAATTCGGCATTTTTTGTTGAAGAGATTCGCTTTTCTGCCATTTCGAATCACAGTAATTTCTGGGCAAAAGGCCTACCCTGATGAGTAGAAGAAGTCAACTCACTTCGGGTGCATAAAATTCTCAATTCAAAAGCACTGGAAAGCGGCACGGGTATTATGTCAAAAACCTATAAAACGCCAAAAAAACCTATAACATCTTGCAGACTAGGTAGTTTTTAGGACGCAAACAGTTTGCTCACTAGGATAGTTGTGAATGTCCATCTATGGAGGAACACTCAACGAAACTACACGCATTGTTGGTTGCATATGTTTTGTGAGGCCGAGTGGTCTGTGTCTGTAGTTTGTATCTCTGAGAAGAAAGTTGGTTGAATAGCAAGATTGGTCTGTGTGTATATAAAATCAGTGATATTTGCTGTTTGAGAAAATCGTTACTGAATATGTTGCCAATGAAGTATATCTGTTAGTTGTGCCCGACGGGTTAATTATATGTTGTCCTTTCTGAAGACAGGTTATGTTCAAAGTCATTAATTACGAAAAACTTTGAGGAAAATTAAGAGAAATCATCACGGCCCCCGCGTAGTGTGTAATTAGAGTTAGCATGTATATGGCTTGTAATTCGACAGTGTACAATGAATATAATTATTTCTTATCTCCCTCATTTTTGAAATTCAGCAAACTTGCATATGGAATTTCCAGAATGGATAAGGAAAAGTGGATGCGCAACTAATTTCTGGATTTGAATCTCAATTAATTGTATGTGACACAAGAATCCAATGGAATTATCATCAACACATACCACTTACAGCTTAGACCTCCAGTAATGCCACTTCTGAAGCAGATTTTCCATCACATATGAGCTAAACATGGATACACAAAACATATACATTGATAACCGAAGCATCATGACGTTTAGGCAACAGCTACAACTAAGTACTAAGTTAACATCTTGTAGAAAAACCTACATAATGTAAAAAAACAGTATAAAGTCAAAAAAATCGATTTATCGTTACTTTTCAAGTTACGTAATAGCCGTGCCGCTCAGGCTTAGTGTTTATTTATTGTAGTGGTTTTATTTGTTATTATTTTTTATCGGCCATTTTGAACTTCAACGATTTATCCTGAATCCTTAGGCATGTAGTTAACAGTCCAGTTCTATATCGATTTTATTTTATATTTTTATCAAGCTTTTGTCTCTTATTCTGTCTTATTAGCTTATGACACAGTAATCAAATTCAAGCGGATAACCAAATGGAAATGGTATTTACCATTTTGGGTTGGTATTTACCAATCCGTTCAAGCGAGTGTAGTTATCAGTTTGGTTATAAGATCAGTGACGTCACGAATCAGCTGTTATATGTCATAGTTATCACCGCAAAATTGTGGTATTTACCCAACTCGAAAGTAGTTTTATATTTTTGGTTATTATTTGAAATGTGACAAGTTGGAATTTTGCCGGGTATTGGATATTGTTATTGTACTTCAGCTTCATTTTTGAGAAAATTGATACAGGCTGACTTCTGTTTTACCATAAAGTGGAGCACCTTATTAGTTATACTCATTACGGTTGTTGAGGACACTTTAAATGTAGTTCCTATGCTTAACAAAGTATCCTGTGTAGCCATATACCACAAGAATATTAAAATATGGCCATATAAACTCACTAGATTATATCCACCTGTATACGGTTTTGCTAATATCTTTTTTCATCATTTCTGCTGAATCAATAAATGTTTTCTTTGACATGCGGAAAAATTTAGAGAATTGAAAGTTATCATAGCTACAAAGCCATGGTTCCATCATTAACAAAAAATCTGGAAAAAACATTTCTCCCATGAATATTATGAAAGGTTTCTTATTTAAACTTTCCATATACAGTTGTAGACGAAAAAGCACCGATTATTAAGTGATAATAAAAATAAACAGAGATTATATACGCGCTTTTCTAAAATAAACAACTTGCAACAAAACCGCGGTTAAAACCAACGCGTTCAAGCGATTCGTGTAACTGACGTCATCAACCCGTGTGTCATCTTGAACCATATTTTAACCGCGGCACATAACACAGAAATTTTGGTTATTCGCTTGAATTTGATTAGTGTATATAATCAAATTCAAGCGGATAACCAAATGGAAATGGTATTTACCATTTTGGGTTGGTATTTAAAAATCCGTTCAAGCGAGTGTAGTTATCAGTTTGGTTATAAGATCCGTGACGTCACGAATCAGCTGTTATATGTCATAGTTATCACCGCAAAATTGTGGTATTTACCCAACTCAAGAGTAGTTTTATATTTCTGGTTATTATTTGAAATATGGCAAGTTAGAATTTTGCCGGGTATTGGATATTGTTATTGTACTTCAGCTGCATTTTTGAGAAAAATGATACAGGCTGACTTCAGTTTTACCATAAAGTGGAGCACCTTATTAGTTATACTCATTACGGTTGTTGGGGACACTTTAAATGTAGTTCCTATGCTTAACAAAGTATCCTGTGTAGCCATATACCACAAGAATATTAAAATATGGCCATATAAACTCACTAGATGATATCCACCTGTATACGGTTTTGCTAATTTCTTTTTTCATCATTTCTGCTGAATCAATTAATGTTTTCTTTGGCATGCGGAAAAATTTAGAGAATTGAAAGTTATCATAGCTACAAATCCATGGTTCCATCATTAAAAAAAAATCTGAAAAAACATTTCTCCCATGAATATTATGAAAGGTTTCTTATTTAAGCTTTCCATATACAGTTGTAGACGAAAAAGCGCCGATTATTAAGTGATAATAAAAATAATCAGAGATTATATACGCGCTTTTCTAAAATAAACAACTTGCAACAAATCCGCGGTTAAAACCAACGCGTTCAAGCGATTCGTGTAACTGACGTCATCAACCCGTGTGTCATCTTGAACCATATTATAACCGCGGCACATAACACAGAAATTTTGGTTATTCGCTTGGATTTGATTTATGTTTTGTGTTATGACACTTACGACAATCGACTGATGTTTGACGTTAAGATTTCTTTTTGGTTATTTTTTCATATTTAGTAACTAACAAGTTAAATATCTATAAACAGAAAAATGGCAAAAAAGACGTACGATTTATTGTTCAAATTGTTGTTAATAGGAGATTCAGGTGTAGGCAAAACGTGTATATTATTTAGATTTTCTGATGATGCGTTTACCACAACTTTTATATCGACTATAGGCAAGTCCTCCTTGGAGATATTTTTATTTTTAGTTTACCTACTATACTTTATCTTCACGAATGAAAATATCTAATTAGGAATTGATATATGTTGATACAGACAAAGGAAATAAATGCGTTAAGGTCAAGGGTAAACACTTTCAATACCTTTTTTTGCAGGCATAGACTTCAAAATAAAAACGGTAGAATTACGAGGCAAGAAAATTAAACTCCAAATATGGGATACAGCAGGTCAGGAGAGATTTCACACAATTACCACCTCATATTATAGAGGTGCTATGGGCATTATGCTTGTTTATGATATTACAAATGAAAAAAGCTTTGAAAACATTGTTAAATGGTTGAGGAACATTGATGAGGTATAATTTCCCCATAAACAGTATTTTTCCTTCTAATGAAAAATTATTTTTGTAGCATGCCAATGAAGATGTGGAGAAAATGATATTGGGAAACAAATGTGATATGACTGACAAGAGGACAGTTAGTAAAGAAAGGGGTGAAACGGTAATACATAAAATAAGATATACTTGAAACTTCACCACAGTAGAAACAATGACCTCATTAAAATACTTTACTTGACATTTATTAACAATCTATTTCTGGTAGTAGGTACTCCTTGAAATTGATATAAGAATTTATGAATACAATGAAGATAAGTTCTTACACATCTTAGTTTCCATTCATAAGATCTTTACTATCAGACATTAGGGCAATAACCAGAAAGATTTTCATGCAGTAAGGAAATTCTATAAATGCAAAAGTATACAGAGTAATTCACAAGTCATGAAACATGGAATTGTCATACACAGGACCGCATTATCTTCTATGTAACATATTTTCCTCCAGGGCTCATTGAAAAGATATGGGGGTGCTGAAGTCTAAAAATAAACAAAATTTTTCTTAATATTTTCAAAATGAACTAAAATTTGGTATGCGGATTTACCAAAAGTCTTTACTTAAAATTAACGTGCACCAGACACAAGGTATTAGTGGCATTATTTTTATGGAATTGACAAACTTTCTGTAGTTAGAGGTCATGGTGTCCGGCATACTGTTCAAGAGGAACTGGAAGTGATTAATTTGGTGTTGGATGATCCTAGTACAAGTACTAGGCAGATTGCAGCCCAGTTACCATGTTCCCAAAGTCTTGCATGGAGTATTTTGAATCCGGAAGTTTTACAATCTTACCATTGGCAAAATGTGCAATGTCTGCAACCCGGCGATGAAGTGCAACATGGAAATTTTTGTGGGTGGTTACTGCAAATGCATAATCAAAATGCAGATTTTATTGGTTTTGTGGTAAGATGAATGGAGCGGAACCTTTAATTATCATAATGGACATAATTGGTCATTAGAAAATCTCCATTCTGTAAGAATCCACTCATTTCAACACAGATTTTCTAGAAATGTCTGGTGCAGCATTTTCAATGGCCAACTGTTTATGCAAATATTGGCACAACATTTAAATGCAAACTCCTACTTAGATTTTGTAGAGAAAATGTGTTAGATGATGTTCCATAGCAACGAGAGTACGAATGTGGCATCAACACAACATTGCTCCACCGCATGTTCGTCATGACATAGCAGCATAGTAAAATAATCATTTTAGACAGCGATGTACTGGCAGAAATGGACCCGTACATTGGCCTGCGAGGTCTCCTGATTTGAACCCCCTAGATTTATTGTTGTGGGGCGCTTTTAAACAACTAGTGTTGAACTATCAACTATCAGAAATTTCATTTTGTGTTTCTTAAGAAAAAAATAAGGAAAATATATCCTTTTTTTTTTGCAGAAATACAAAGTTCTACTTTAGTGAGGTTCATTGAAAATGGTCCTCCATATTTTTGTGTATAACATGTAGAAAAATGACTTTTAAAAAACTATGAAATGAGGGAATGACTGATAGGATGGGGGAATGATTTTTACAACAATTTGACGCTGAATTGCAATAAAAAACATAAGTTAATTTATTAATATATGTATTGAGATTTGTTTTATACTTTAAACGGCACATTCTCATATTTTCACCATTCTCTAAGAAATGAACAACATCACCCCTAACTTTCAGCATTTTGGAGCTAACTTTATGAGTACAGTTCTTTTTGTACATGTCGTTTTTGAAAAAAATGTTTCGATCTATATAGCAATTTGTATCTTTTGTACTTATTGTAGCTTCAACATGTAATATTTTTTCTTTTCTCCATATTTACTTCCAAGATCTTCATAGATATTCTTGAGGTCCATTGGCAGTGCTTCTCCGAAAATGAGTCTTTTTCTTACAATGTCAGGAACTTGTATATTCTTTAAAAGCGAAGACACTTTAGCTGCTGGAGAGTTTGGGTCAGTATTTTTAGTTTTCAATCTCAAACACCTCTTCTTATATTTTTCGTTAAGCTTGACTGCGTTCCTTACTTTATTTTCCAAACTATTAATCGTCGCGTACAGAATAGTTCGCCGCTTGCGCATTCTACGTCTATTGAGAGCAGACAAATTCTCTGCTCTGTGCTGTAAAGATGGTGCAGGACTTGGTGGGGATGTGTCTTCAACTACTCTGTAAATTTGTTTGTAATTTAACTCGCTTTTCCCTATAAACTTTACTATTCTTTTTCCATTGTTTTCGTTTTTGGCTAGTTTCTCTTGCACTCATAGGACTTATTGACATAACTTCTTCTTTAAATACTTTAATCTCTCTTTTTCACGCAAAGCTTCTAAAGACTCAGCATTAATTTTCATTTGTTCTCGCCTCTTTCTGTCGTACTCGCTTTTTAATTTCTTTTCTTCTTCACTTAACTTCTTCATTTTCCCTATTCTTGATACAACCTGAAGTTAAACAATAACACCCAAACCACAATTTTATATATGCAACATTCATTCCCTCATATAATTTTCATTGCCTCACTTTCCAATATAGTGAGGGAAAACGACACCATAACCAACAGTACATCACCTCAAATTGATTTAGCATTTTGTGAATGCATTTTACTCCTCACATCAAGAAAAAAATCATTAAAACATTCGAACAGTATAATGACTTACCTTTTAATATAAACAGTGAGGTTATGATACAGAGAAATCTTCTAATTATTAAAAACCAATACTTTTTTGCAGCAACTCTTTTCACTATTAAGAAATTCCGCCATGTGACATTATTAGCAGTATTGCCAAGTTTTAAGAATATAACAGCTGCGTTCAAAAATATCAAATGGTGTGACCACAAATTGAATATTTATAATGGGTGAGGGAATGATTTCATTTCAAGGGACATTGTGTAAATAGTTTTTTTTATATACATATTTATTTTTTAGCAAAGAAAGCTTGACTATACAATCCATACTTATTACCAAATATTTTAGTAATATTCAATTTATAAGAATATGAACAGATTTGATTGTATATATTTTTTTATCAGTAATTTCAGACCCAGGGACGAGATGAGAGAATGACTTTTAGACTAATAAATTAATCGTATTTTTTTGTGTCAATATATTATCTAAATTTTTCTTTTAAAATATTAGTGTAGATACTTATTGATATAATCAAAATGTTAAATTGATGATAAATCCATGCATCAATGGCTCAGGAGATGAATTTCGAAAAATTTGCTGAGAAATACCCAAAGATTATTATTATTATCAGTGTATACTGAACAAATTAATACTGTTCAGTTACAAGAAAGAATAGATAATGTGTTTCATCAAATTGAAGCTACACCAAATTTTGCGAAAATACGTTTTTCTTTATTAAAAAGATGCCGCACTTGTATCCGTCAGAAATGTGGTCTTTTTGAACATTCATTGAAATAAAGCTTTGATTATCTAATTTGTTTTGAGTAATTCTTTGTAGCAAATTGAAGGTAAAATTCGAAAAATTGCGAGCTTCGACAAAAAGAAAATAGTGGCGTACTATATTTATTTAAAAAAATAATGGTACTAATCCCCTGTATCTCCGCCACTGGTGCACGTTAATTTCATTTAAAGACTTTTGAATGTGGACAATACTTAGGCAAATCCACATATTAAATGTTAGTTCATTCCAGTTGACGGTTTTGAAGATATTAAAAAAACTTTTTTATTTTTAAACTTCAACACCCCGTATCTTTTTAATAAAGCCCCCCAGGAAAAAATGTTACGTAGAAGACCCCCCTTAAAATGCGGTCCTGTGTATGATATTTAATTTTTGTTCACGACTTGTGAATCACCCTGTATAAAATCTAAACTTCATTATTTCAATATTCAATATTTTACTGGGCAAATCACTGTGGTGAAAATTTATATTAACATTATGCATGCATTATACTCTGCAATTGCATATTTAAATCTATACTCAAAATTAGACATGATTTTTTTTACTTAAATATTCTACCTTTTGACTTGTTTCTATTTGAAACTGCTTGAACTAAATGCTTTCAAATTTAGAGATACTCTTATTTTTCATGATTAATGCATATTTACACATGGGTGACAATAATTACAATATTTTCCATTCATCTTTATTAAAAAGCAACATATAATTGATCAGATACAGCTGTCTAATTATAGCCACTTAATGATTTTTGTACTCTATGTCTCATACGCACTTGTTGTGTAGCTTCATCACTTTTATTCAATTAAGGATAATGTGGACGGTTGTTATTGTTACTTTACTGTCATCCTCTTAAATCATGTAATATATTTATAATACAATATGCATACTGCTTGTTGCAGTCATGAAAGCACATAAAGTCAAACTAACTTAACTATAGTTATTGCCATAAATGCATAAAAATCTATTGGTGTGATATTCACCTTCAGTTTGTTTGCGAATAACTGCACAAATTAAATAATAGATTTCAACAAATACGTTTAAACTTATCAGAACAATGTACATTTTTTTAATAATTTTTTGATTTTATTGTAATAGTATTAGTTTAAGAATGAGACCACAGAAAAGTATCTATCAACAAATCATAGATCACAGCTTCCTCATAACATTGTTGGAAATTCATTCATCATTGATTTTTTTTCACACAATCAACCAGCTCAATTGAAGTAAAGTCAGACGGGAATCCATACCATAGAAATTGATTTTTACTTAATTTTATTCTATATGACCCTTGCAAAAAGACTATAGTAACTCAGTTTTGGTTGAACCAGGATATTGGCATTTGAAAATTTTCCGATGAACTCCCTTGCAGCTTACTATTTATATAGCGCAGAAGATTTACTGGTTGCCTATATCTTCATGACCAAGATACTACCGTATTTTTCTCAAGTATCCATTATTGTTTTGGCGTCTACTGAGGTGAACAGCTGATCACAAAAGCGACATGTTTGTATTAGTCTGTAACGTTGTTGGAAATGATGAATTTCAGGACCGTATTCTGTTGTTCACATATCTGGATTATACTTTGTGCCGAAAATGTGACAATAAAATGCACGAAGTACAGATATAAAAATATTTATTAGAAAATTATTATAACACATCTGGGATTTATTGATTACATTGTCAATACCAGTCAATAGAAC